CAAGTGATTATTTTGTGTTTAAAAAATCAAAATTTTTCACTATATGTCCACGATACGCAAAATTTGGATTTTACCGAAAAATTCCGCCCAATTTATTTTTCAATTTCTTTTTTCATAAAACACAGACACAAAAATTTTTTCCAAAATTATTAAAAAGATTTTTCACTATTTTACCACATCACATGAAATTAGGATTTTACCAAATATGTCTGAAGAAAATTGTTCTTAAAATTTTTTCTAAAAAATTTTTTTTTTCATTCATTTTTCGAAAAAATATTTTCTAACACTTTTTCTGGAAATTATTAGCAGATTATTTTACTACTGATCAATGGTTGACATATACAAATATTTTAAAAATTAAAGGCAAATGAGTAAAATGTTTTTGAAATTTAAGCAGAAATATACATACATATTTCCAGGCAAATAAGTGTGTTTTACTTGTGTTTGGATATGCTTTATTTTTTACTTAGTAGTATGTTATTATTGATGCTTTTTGCTGTACATTTTGTCGCAGCTGTGACATATTGAATATTGCTGTGAATTTGTGAGTTTGTTGCTTTAGTAATGTCGTTATTGTGGCTACACAATTCAAAAACTGTGTTCAATAATTCAGTAAGTCATCAAATGTAGTATCATCTTACAGTATTATTGACACGTGATAACAAGGGAACCGGTGATAATCTTAAAATGCGCTTTGTGCTGACACCTAGTGGGGATTTAAAGGCAGCACACAGAAGTCATGGTGCAGTTATTTTTTTAAATTACCTACAAATCTTGTTTTATGTAGAATGTTGACCGCATTGTGATCTCAAGAGGAGTGAGAAGATTTTGGTTAATTATTCACACTATGTTAATTTGAAATCACAATAAATACTTTATTTCCACCATGAAAATTAGATTGCATATAGAATATCTATTTCTTTACCACATTTATATCCTGTCCTCTTTTCAAATACATATATATTTATTTTTAAAACAAGACAGCACGTGTTGATGTTCATGTTCAAACACAGACAGAAATAGCTCGTATTTTTCAAAAATGGTGGCAAATATTTTACAGTACACGCTACAAAAATACCTTCTTTGGCAAGTGAGTCAGTCCATCCAGATGATCATGTGCAAACTGCGAATGTTGAAAAGCCTTGTCGTCTGTGCAGGTGATTGGGCCTTGCTCTATCCTAGAACAAGACAGACCCCAAAGCCAAGAGTGAAGAAAAGTGAGAGGACAAAGAAAGAACAAACGAATGGAAGTGAGAAAGACAGACAGAAAGCAGGGAAGGGATGAAGAAAAAGAGAGGGAAGGAGCAGAAAAGGGAAAGGAGGACTACAGAAAGAAAGAAAGAAAGAAAGAAAGATACATGTGAGTATGAATTCTGCCTTCATGACTTTTCCCACCAAAAGAAACCAATAGCAGCAAATAACATAAAAACACAATCATTTGTACATTGATAAGGTCGTCAAAGAAAGAAAACCTGTTTTTGTTCCTCCTTCAACAACAGAACAGATAAAACCCACTTAAGTGAAAAGTGAGTCCCAGACCCTCAGTCCTATTTAACTAAGTTCAGGTTGATTTAATGTCAGTGTGAGGCTCACAGCTGAGTTTGGCTCTCTGACAGTTGCCTCACACATGGAGCAGTTCTGAACTGAGGGAGGTACAGCAGTGAGGCGAGGGTCTCCACCGGTGTGCCGGGGTCCTCGGCCCTCAGCAGAGGCTGTGACTCCACGCAACAGTCACTTCTGTTCAAAAGTATATTTTTGTGTACTTTTAATTTCGCAGCACCTTCTCTGTGCCACTCATTGTCCTCCCTCTCCCCCTCTTCATCCTCCTCCTCTTCCTCCTCTGGATACTCCACTTTGAGATAGTACAAGTCCTTCTCTCTTCCTGCTTCACCTTCATCTTCCTGCTCCGATGTTTCAGAAAGTTCCTCCACAGAGTTGTAGGAGCAGGAACGTCGAGGGTCGTCCACCTCTCCTCCCTGGCAGCTGCCCAGCTCCTGCAGGCCACATGGGATGGATTCTGAGATGTCGGAGTTGTTAGCAGAGAAATTGCCTTCATCGCTGGAGCTGCTGCCACTCCCCTCCCTGTAGTGGCAATGTTGCTCTTCCTTCATGTCAGGAGGCATCACAGTGGAATATGTGACTGAAGACTGTGCAGAGTTCTCTGCACTGTCTGGGTGCTGGTCTGTTCGTGAATCATCTGGCAGTAAATCATCTATCCTCGGTAATGACATTGTTGAGGTGTTCAGATGATCTAACGGAGGAGCTTCACCCATCATCAACCCGCTGAGCTCAGTGAACTCCCCACTGTGGTCCAGCTCTGTGTCAGACTCAGGAGGAAGGGAAATGGCTCTGGTGAGAGTGCAGAGGTCAGGTTTGTCCACGATGACCACGTGGGATATGTTCTCTGAGGGCAGCAGCAGCGGCCAGGCAGGTAGGCCTTCTGGAGTTTGAAAGAGATGCTGAAAACCAGCCTGGAAACACAAGGGCAGATGAAAGATGACATGCAGTGTGTACGGACCTTAACACAGACCACAGCGAGGACACCAAGCAGGAAAATGCTTATGGTCAGTAAACTTCAATCAGAAGTTTACACCTCACTAAGACCGTGTGTAATTTGGAGATAGTCCTACGCCTTTCAGTTCCTCACATATTTATTGATAACCTGTTTTTAATGTTTACCTGTTTGAAGTCCTTTCCTTTGGCCCAGGAACTCTTGTTGGGGTCGGGTACATCTTTCCACACAAATCTTTTCATTCTGGAAATAAAAAAATAAATCTAACATGTTGTTGTTGTATTATTTCTCCATGCAGGAGGTGCTATTAGGGATATGTGGTTCCTCTGGGAGTTGAACTCTCAAAAAACTCTGTTTGCAAGACTGCTTTGACTGCTACACTATAGAACCAGTAAAGGCACTGTTGGGATTTGAACCCATCATCTCTATCCCCCTCGTAACTAACCGAGCCACAACATGACCTATAATAATTATAATAATAATAATAATCTGTATAATTAATTAATTAGTATTAACCAATGTTTTTTTCTTTTTGATTGTGATCTTACTGGTTTTTGGAGAGGATCAGAATGACCACCAGGATGACTGAGAGAAAGGAGACCAGCAACACCATCATGAAGGCTGCAGGGTCTCCTCTGGGGGCTGCTGTAGATGGAAATAATAAGAATGATGTACCCTGGCCCAAAGTCAACAGTGCTAAATATTTGAACTACGTAAAGAAAAACAGGTATTTATTTATGTATACCTAAGGTGTACACAGGTTCTCCTTCTCCATGTGCAAACACTGGGTACAAGTAGAAGCCGTATTCCTCGGAGCCAAAGAATTCACCTGTGGGTTGACGGTGAGGTTAAACATCTGGGACTATGTTTTGGCTACGGTAACAGAATAATGACACCAACAGATGGAGACCATGTTACCTGTCAGATAGACAGGACCGGCAGTGTAGGGAGGTCTGGCCCAGGTCTTTCTGCTCTGCACCTTGTGATGGTGCTGCCAGTGTGGAAACCACTGGACCACCATGAAGAGAGGCACAGAGCTGTTTTCCAGCAGGCTCCAGGACAGAGAGACACAGGTGCTGTTGACAACCAACACATGGAAGTTCTGCACACAGTGGCCTTCAGAAAAACAAAACAGAGAGGAGGAACAGGATCTCAAATTGTGACTTTCAATAAAAAAAGGATTTAATTAGTGGGAACAGGGTGATAATAAGATTTTTTTTTTTTTTAAAAATCTACTGATTAATTATAACTGCAATCTATTCAAACTATTAATCAGGAAAAAATAATAGGGCTTTGTTATTATATTTTCTAGTTCTGACATCAGGGTGAGACATTTTTCATAAAAATATTATAAGAATCTGCAGTGGAAAAAAAACAGAGCCACAGCTGTACTATAAGAGGTTAGTGAAGCTAAAAATACAGTCAGAACAGTAAACAATTCCATAGAAAGGGGAATTAAAATCAGCCATTTTACAATTTAAATCAGCAGATGTAATTCCTGGGAAACCACAGTGTGTGTTAGTGTTAGCCAGCAGTCGTGTGTTCGAAGGTACCCACATGGTTCTGGTTCCACTGCACCTGTAGCGCACGTGTATCTCAGAATCAGAGACCACTATTATGTGAGCCACCAATTGTAAATGTGTAGTTTGACCTGAACAATTCACTGAAGATGTAAATTTGAATTATTGTTTTCATTTTTTATACAGTAATATTTTTTTAAATCTGCAAAGCTCCATAACTTAATAATCAGAATTCTTATTCTTTATTTTGGTTTCTATTTATATTTTATTTATATACATTATTTGGGTTGCACTACTGCCACCTAGTGGACAACATATATATAAATGTACCCTATTAAATTTGTATTTAAAGTTTTGTGTGCATTTAAAGGAAAAAGTAAACTAGCAATAAAACAAATGCGACACTTGACAAGTTTTTTGTTCACTCACGTTTGGGCGGTTTTTCCAGTGTCATGTTGATGTTGTTGGTGGAGCTGCCCAGACTGTTGTAGGCCTCGACAGTCACAGTCTGGACCTCCTGGTTCCACTCAAAGCTGTAGGAGGACACCAGCTCCACTGACCTACTGATGACAGGACCAGTTGAAGTCTGGTGGTGAATTTTAAACCCATCCACACAGTAAGAGTGTCTGGATGTGGGGAGATCCTAAGGAAAAAAAAAACTTTTGGTGAAAAGTAAAACTTATCATGCAATGTAAACATTTAGCAGCTTTTTTAGCTTTTGATGTTTTCCAATGCAAATTTTTAAATTGTTTTTTAATTAAAGCCTAATAGAGTTAAACTGCGGATATTTTATAAAAATGTACATTTACAGTATTTTCATTGTACCTCAAACAGGAGTGTGACGTTAGTCTGGTTTGTGTTTGGATCATCTTGAAGAACTCTCCAGAAGTCTGGACCTCTCTCAGGAGCTGAAAAATGAGCGTTAGAACTCAATACTAGGGGTCATTTATTTAAAGTGTTGTTCTCTCCTGGAACTCTCTTGCTGTAGGTTTACCTCTGCTGTTCTGGGGTGTAGAGTAGACAGTTTCACTCCACTCACTCCAGTAGCCGCTGCCGTTGGCGGGCATGCATCGAACCTGCACCACATACACCCGGCACATGTGAGGCACGACTACCTCTGACCATGGATCCCGAACCGGACTCTGAACCTGCAGGTATGACATTTCTTTTATTTGTGCCACAAAAATGTAATGAACACAAAAAACATCTGAAGTGAGATCAGCTGTTTTAAACTACAACCAATCCACGTCAACAAAAGAAACACAAACTCAGCTCCTTTTCTTTAAAGTCTTGATGGAAATGTCAGAAATAAGAATCAATTACTTTCGGACATGTTACCAAGCCGTTCAGACAAGGACATGAACGTCGTCCTGTCGACTTAACTTGACCTCAGGTGAGTCTGACAAACTGAATGTTTGTAATTTACAGAAATGTAGGAAGCAAAACTAATATTTCCTTCTGTAGATAATATTAGATTAATTGAATTATTTTATTGGACTAGTTCAGTTATGAAAAAACAACTACCAAAATTAAAACATCAGATGTTCTAAATGAAAATGTCAGGAAATGAAATCATTTTAATATAAAATTGTTAAGGAAAAACATTTTCCTAGCAGACAACCATACCTTCCACTCCGGCTGAGCTCTCACTGCGGACGGTGAGTGGTACTGAAACTGACACTGGAGCCCCTCGACCGGCAACAACGGACATTCCCAGGTGACACTCAGGACCCCCCTGGCCAGGCTCACTGCCTTCACATTCGTTGGTGGTTGCGGTTTCACTGCAGGTAAGTCAATACGATTAAAATAATTAGTGTGTCTTAACAAGACTATGATTGAAAAGACTTGTTGGTGTCATCAGATCATGACAATTACATAGCAAGTCAAACCAAAGCTAATGCATGACACAGCCCACATAGGTGGCTGCTTAGGGCACCATCTGCTGGAGGAGACGACACTACATGTCCTTAGAAACATTGTGGATACCATACATGGGCCCCAGGGCCCCATAATCTCACCTGTGAAACCAAAATGGCTGAAACTGTCTCTGTGTCGAACGTGAAAGCTAAGTTGAGCTAAAGTTTAGTTAAACCAACCACTACCTAAAAAGACGTGCTCCTTTATTTTTAGTTGAACGTAGCAGAGAGCTGCTCACCATGATCTAAGGGAGACAGGTAGATGGGTTTGGAGCTAATGGGTCCAGATTCAGAAGGCATCTCCAGCCACATCTTGTAGCAGCTCATCCTCAGAGTTTGAATGGTGCACATGTTCTCCTGGGACGTGACCTGAAGACAGGGAGGCCCCGTTTCCCCCACGTTCTCACCCGCTCTGTCCATCTCCTCCATTTCCTTGCATGACAGATAAGCCCACCTTGGGTAACAAAAAAAATCTCTGGTTAGATAGTGGATGCAATAGTTCTATATCTTAGTAGATCAGTAAGACCTACTGTAAATGTCATGTGGGGTTCAGCTGAGTCACACACATTCACCTGTATTGAAATTCAGTTTTGCGCCACTGTTTGCAATTCCATCTGCATTCCATTGCGTCAATACCACCACTGGTAACACAGTTTATATCAATGGAAGATCCTGCAACACATGAAAACAACTATAGAATTAGGTCAAATAAAAAAAATTAAAAAATTAAAAAGTTTGACCTAGAATAAACCCCTATCTTGGAATTTACTTTGGTTGACATTGCTGTGCTGTCACATGTCAACACTCAGACACAGTAAAACACCCACATAAACATAAAAGCTTTTTTTTTTTTGAAGTAGCAGTAATAAGATAAAAAGTACAGAATGCTGTGGAACCAAAACTCACCCTGTATGTAGATCTTGCTGCAGGGGAGGCTCCATTCCTGTGTGCACTGCAATAGGTCGTACATACGGGACTGTGAAGGTTGAAGTGTGATTTGACTGACCTGGTTTTTGGGGAAAAATAAACTAAATAAATAAATAAAACTTGTAATCAGCTGTCATCACTTGTGGCATTTGATGGGGAAAAACAAATCTTACCCATCGGTTAACTGCGTGGTACTGGCTCTGAGGAAGCTGCTGGTTCATGTTCAGCGTCCACACAGCCATGCTGGCATCGATGCTGGGATCGTTAAACACACAATAGACTGTTATGTTCTCTCCTGGTCGTGTCAACCCTATTTCTGGGATGTAGCTCACAGCTGTAGGTAGAAAAATTATTATTTAAATATTCAAATATATTGATAATAAAAAAACATACACATATATACACGTATTTATACAATATATGTATATAATTAATTAAATGTGTATATATATATATACAGATCCTTTCCAAAAAATTAGAATATCGTGAAAAAGTTGTTTAATTTCCATAATTCCATTCAGAAAGTTAAACTTTCATATATTCATAGATTCATGGGACACAATTTAATCAATTTCAGGTATTTATTTGTTTATTTTTTACATAATTTTGGCTTCCAGCTCAT